AAAAAGATGAATAAAAACTTTGCATGCAAGTTTTTGGTTTAAATAAATATTTAATAACTTCAACAGAATCAATTTATCATTTATTTTTAACTTTTTTAGTTTTAATAAAAAAAACATATATTTTAGGTTTTTTATTTACAATAGTAAATTTTTATGAGAAATGTATTTTTGATTTTAAGTCTTTTTTTTTTGTTTGTTTTCAGTATCAACATTTTTTTTAAGTTTTCTGAAATTTTGAATCTTTATTGTCCAATTCCAATTTATTATTTTTCCAAATAGAGTTATGGCCCCATTTGATCTCCATATATTCCGATTACAGTCGGAGGAATCGACCCAGAACTTGTTCATTTCTGATCAGTTGAACACCAATGTTGTGATTCAGTTTGTGTTGAACGAACATGTTCAGTGTTGGGTTTCCTGATGATTCAGAAGTTTTTGGCCAGAAATGCCAAAATCAACACATTGTTTTTTTAATCAGCTCAGCCTGTTTGGACTGGAGGATCAGTGACTGCTACTGAAAACATCTTAGGAGAATAAAGGTCATTTTATTTATACAGCACATTTTCTTAGTGCTTCATACTGAAGGCTGATGAAATGCTTATTTCACTCATTCACACATGAATGAATTAAATAAAACCCTGAAACCTTTCAAGATCGGTCTAGTTAAAACCTGAGTCTGCTGAACAAAGAGCTGTTTGTGATGTAAGCTGGCAAATTATCCAGATAAGTTATCTAATCTGATCGTCATGAGACGGACGGGTCTCCTTCCTCACCCGGTCGATGAAGCACTGCATGAACCATTTGGTGCAGTAGATCCCTGCAGACATCTGCTCCCGGTCCTGCAGAGCCACAAACACGAGCAGGAAGCAGAAGAAACGTCACCACCTTCAGCATCGCGTCGTTTCCACGGCAGGCTGAGAGCTCACCATGTGCTTCTTCAGCTTGGGGAGGAGTTTGGACAGGATCTGGTCATGATGAGCCTGGAACCGGTGAAGTTTGGGGAATCCAGGAACAAAGAAGCCTGGAAACAAAGAGTCGTTTTCATGGCAGATAACTTAGAGAGCCTGACGGAGCTAACAGAAAGAACCACGGTTGGTCTTTTCTGGAGTTTTCTCTCACTGTGATGCAAGACGTGGGATGTGCACGACCATATAAGGAGAGATGATGCATCACTTTGGATCAGGAACATGAAACTTCCCTGGTAAGAAAATGTTTTTAAAACTCTTTATGTCTTCTTTCACAGCTCCACAGGACAGTTTATTAAGTCGTATCTGCAAACCGGAGATTCTCAAAAACTCTTTTTCAGAAATCCCCTAAAAACCACCAGTATAAATCCTGACCTGTGACTTTTAGCACAAGCCAGAATCATGCCTAACAGTCGCAGCAGACTGGAGGTCTTGAGGTGAAAACATTTTGCCCTGCGGCGTTCTGCAGCTCACCATGCATGGCGTGCCGATCGTTGGTCAGCAGCTGCGCCAGCGCCCAGAAGGCGTCTTCCTCGTTCATGTACATCAGCAGCAGGGCGGCGATCTGACTCATGCCCTGGCAGTAGCTCACCTCCTGCAGGCGGCAGACAACACAGAACAAAATAACAACATAAAAACACACGGTCCAGTCCTGCGGGGCCGGAGCGGTCGCTGGTTCTGGTTCAGCTTCAGGTCAACTAGCAGAAAGATCCACTGTAAAATTTCTCTACAGAATATAAAGACGTTGTTTTTCTGGTCGCAGAGTGAAGCACTGAACTGCAAACTGATCCAGATTCAGTGATCAGCCTGTCTGCAGCCTAACAGCAGAATATGAGATGTTTGCTGCAGAGCGTCGTGTCAGCAGGCTGTTAGGAAAAACCTGCACACATTTCACATCCAACATGATTATTGGTTAAACTGGAAGGAAAGCAGCTACTTACAGTGTTATAAACTGAATATGCAGAGAGGACGTGGAAGAGCGACTGCTGCCTGAGGAGAGGGAAACATCAGAGATTAGACATAAACACATCAATCACGTTATTAATAACCTCAGACTCTTTCCTAATGTTTCCATTTCATCCATTGGAGTTTCTGTACAAGCAAAACAGAAATATTCATGCAAATGCAGGCCACACTTTTCAGATCTAATCCTTCCATTTAAACATTTCTTTCCGTCTGAATCCCAAAATGTGGTTGAAATGTGACAAATGTGAATACTTTCTGACTGTACTTTAATTCTCATCCACCTCAGAAAACTGGACATTTTTCATCAGAAACATTTTCACTCTGCAGCCTGTAGATGAGAAGCTGCAGCAGCATAAAAACATCTCAGGGATTTAAAGATTCAATAAAACTGAGAGAAAAATTGGTAGAAGAATTGATGAACATACTGAAGACATGAGAACTGGAATGATAATCGATGGATGTAGAAATCTGATAAACTGTCAGTCGTTCAGTTTCTTTGTTTTGTGTTAATGTGTTTCTTTCTGCCTGCATCTTTTCTCTATTTTGTAATCATGTTTGTGTTTTTCACTCCTTTATTATTTTGTTTTTTGTAATTGCAGGTAATCTAATATTTTCATCCATCTGATTGGATCATTTTCACACATTAATTCAGGCGTTGTAACAAATTAGCTCTTTTATTAAACATCTGTTTTGGATGAGAACTTTCTGCTTCTACTGGAGTTAAAACATTTATTTTTATTTGACCTTTTTTCTACCTGACTTTTAACTTGTAAATTCAGGCATGCATGATTTGGATATGCTGTCAATAAAATGTTTAATTATTTTTACATTATTATCTAAAAATAGTTTTTAAAATAAGTTGTTCAGAAAAGCTGAAAATGATCTTGTGTGAATATAAACATGGCGTTTATGTTTCGTTCAGTTTGTCTGTGACTCTTTGTGTTGCTGTTGGACTAACAGGCTCTTCCTCACTGACTCCTGAAAATGTCACTCAGAAAGATTCGGACTGAAACCTACTTGACCCCGAAGCGGTCCATGAACATGATGTGGTTCCGAAAGGTTCTGTTGATGTCCAGGTCGATCTGCTTGATCTCAGAGGAACAGAGTCTGTATTGCTCCTTCATTTTCTAAGAGTCAAAGCAGCAAAACGAACTCAGGAACACGACGAAATCTGATGAACGAACGAGAGAATGAATCCTCACCTCGTATTTTCCCAGGTTCTCCCTCTGGTCCGCTCCACGTCCAGCAGCAGGGTCCAGGCCCGGCCCCGGAGCTGCAGGGGAATGCCCTTATAGACCCGCTTCACCATCTGCCAGCCAGCAGAGAGCAGACTGAGTCAGCGCCAGGCTTCACAGGAACGAAGCCGAACTCGTCACATCAGAAACATATTCAGAAAGTCACACAGAGATCAGATGATTAACACGACCAGAGTCACAGCAAAGTGATGTTTAAAGAGATTTCTGCAGCAATCGGGAATAAATCAGGATAAAAATACATTCAGTACAAATATGCATGTTTTACAGACCAAAAGTCTCGCAGACATTCAAGGTTTTTCAGTAAATTCAGTCAGACTCTGCTGGACAGGAAACCTCAAGAGTTCTGCTGAGTTTAGCTGTATTTGACACAATCCACGTTTTAAGAGGTCCTGGAACAGGAAGCCTGTCTGTTTTGACTCGTATTTCTAGATCTACGGCATCCCAGTGGTGCCTCACCTTGTCACTGTTCTTGTATTTGTCCCATTTATTCACCATCTTCAGCCATTTCTCTGCTCTCTCGACCTCCAGCTGCTTCCGCTGAGGAGACAGTAGAAAGTCAACAGAAACTGTTTGATTCCTGAGCTTTGAAATGTTTTCTGTCTTTACCTTCTCCTCTTGAACTGTTGGGGCCGGCAGCTCATTCTCACTGCAGGGAACAAACAAAGCATCAGGCAACGACCAGCAGAGAGCTGCTCACAGCGCCACCAAGTGGCCACATGATGCTGCGACTTACTGCATGAAGCCGAAGCGGTCGATGGCTTTATAGACGCTGTAATCAGCATCTTCCCAGGGGTCGATCTCCACGCCGCCCTGCCTGCCCTGGAAACACAAAAACAACCACATTTACTGGCAGGAAGAAGAAGTCAGGAAGGGCGGACATGTTGAATCCTCCTGCAGCCAATAGGAAAAGAAAAGACTTTTCAAAATGTTACAAAAACGTAATAATTTTCAATATTTTAATTTACAGCATAACAGATTCCATGTCAGAAACTTGATATGAAAACAGCAAAAACTGATTCTGAGCTGTTTCAGTTCACTGAAGGTAAAGTAACCTGGAAATTGTTTTAAAAGAGGATTGAATCTTTAAACAATAAACAATTTGTAATAATATTCATATGAAGTATAGTGCACAAAAGAGACTTTTCAAAATAAAACAGTAAGAAGAAATCAGTCAGGAAAACAAAGTGAATCAGGAGAAAAGAATGAAGAAAAGTAAAATCAGATGCTGTTCAGTTTTTACAGTAAAACCAAAGTGACATCAGAATCTGGTTAAAGCAGCAAAGTTCAGAAAAACCTCTCAGCGGTTTGAGTGTTGACATAACAGAGAGAAATACAGGAGGAGGAGGAGGAGGAGGAGGAGGAGGAGGAGGAGGAGGAGGAGGAGGAGGAGGAGGAGGAGGAGGAGGGGAGGAGGAGGAGAGGAGGAGGAGGAGGAGGAGGAGGAGGAGGAGGAGGAGGAGGAGGAGGAGGAGGAGGAGGAGGAGGAGGAGGAGGAGGAGGAGAGGAGGAGGAGGAGGAGGAGGAGGAGGAGGAGGAGGAGGAGGAGGAGGAGGAGGAGGAGGAGGAGGAGGAGGAGGAGGAGGAGGAGGAGGAGGAGGAGGAGGAGGAGGAGGAGGAGGAGGAGGAGGAGGAGGAGGAGGAGGAGGAGGAGGAGGAGGAGGAGGAGAGGAGGAGGAGGAGGAGGAGGAGGAGGAGGAGGAGGAGGAGGAGGAGGAGGAGGAGGAGGAGGAGGAGGAGGAGGAGGAGGAGGAGGAGGAGGAGGAGGAGGAGGAGGAGGAGGAGGAGGAGGAGGAGGAGGAGGAGGAGGAGGAGGAGGAGGAGGAGGAGGAGGAGGAGGAGGAGGAGGAGGAGGAGGAGGAGGAGGAGGAGGAGGAGGAGGAGGAGGAGGAGGAGTCCATTCAGACCCAGAACACAGGTTCTGGAGAGGACAGTATGGGAAGAGGAGTTTTACCCAGATCACTGGTTATTCTGCAGTTAAATCATCTGTTGTTCTCCAATAATCCTAACGTCACACACAAACACTCTGTTACATAATAAAAGCCCTTTGGCAGCCAAACATGCATCTTCCCACTCGTTTATTGTCCTCACAGGCACCAACCACAACTCACAAACAAACATCTTAAATCCTGCTTCCATCCTTCCCAGCGTTCCCAGTGGCTTTTCCACAACCATCCAACCTCCTCTGAACTCTGCAGAGCCGCAGATTCAACAGGAAGATCTGCAGGAAGCTGATCTGCAGAGACTCACCGTAGCATATTTTAGGATGATGTCGGCCCGTTCCTCTGCTATTAGAGTCTTGATGTCTTTCTTCATGTCAATATCTGCAGAGAGAGCAGAGCAGAGTGAGTTAGAGACGGAGAGCAGCGATGAGTGGGCGACTGTTCAGACCAACGGGATGAGCTGGAAGCACTTAAGCACGCTTTGAATGTAATGACTTCACAGAAGATCAACGCAGTAATGTACATTCATGCTAGCGTAGCGAAACGATGCAGTCATGGTAAAAGGAAAGAGCCTGAAGAAGGACGACGTGCTCTGGACAGACCAGACCAAATTAGGGATGTTTGGCCAACAAACGTTTGGACCTTCACACTAACAGTAAAGCATGGCAGCACAAGGTGATGATTTAGCATCCATTAGTTCACAGCAATGGGTTTGTTGCTGCAGTGTGCTCCAACAAAACCTCTCTGGCTCTACAGAACAAATAATCGTTATTGTTAAAGTCAAGACACACCGCCTACACCCGACTCTTTACGCTTCCTTCAACAGTCCCACTACTGACCGCCGTAGATGTCAGACTGAGTATTCACTCGAGGATATGTACCGGAAATCTCATCAGCAGAAGTTTTCTGTTCTCCTGAGACGAGATGTGAAAAGTCAAAAGGTCAACTTGGCCTTTTGGGGTGAAGGTAAGACTTGGGAAAGGGTCTCAGTCTGAGTGGACCAGAGGTTCTCCACAGTCAATGAGGTCCAACTGTCCCACAGCTGAAGTTTGGTCCAAACTGGGTCATGAATGTGGCAATGATCCCAACATGCGCTCAAACTGCACGGCAAAGTTTCATCATGAGACCACACCGCTCTAACGAGGAATATGTTCCACAAGATGTTTGCAGTCTTCTGTCAGGAAGACGTCTGATGAGCACATCAGCAAAACTTTCCTGGGATTTTACCTCTGGACATTAGTACCAGGAAGAACATCTCCAAGTCTTTCAAATCTCTAAAAACATATCATTCCCAAACAAAACACCAGGATTATTAATCCTGCTTAATCTACATTATCCATCCTGACCTACACAAAGGCAGGGCATGCTCGGGTAATCTGGGCTTTCTGCAGAACACAAAGCATCTGGATTAGGAATATCCCCAAAGCAAAAGGCTCCATTTCTCCCAGCAGGAAAGAGAGAGAGCCGTGAGGATCCGCAGCCGTCCATCAGACCGACGCTTTACCTTCTTAATGCTTCAGATCTCAACGTTTATTTAGTCTCATATTTGGTTTGTTGCATCAATCTACTGACAAAAAAGGTCAAAACTAGAAATTTAAGAAAACTTAGAAAAGAAAAAAACTGAGCTATTGCAAACACAACTAATCAGGTCAAACAAGTTGAGCTATTCAGGTACGAACATGCTGGGCTAGTTAAAGAAAAATGACCCAATCATTTCCCTGAGAGCGGTGGAAACTGGTCAGTTTCAGAACCAACCAGTCTATAGTAAACCTCACTACAGAAACCACAGACCTCTATAGACCAGAACCTCTATAGACCAGAACCTCTATAGACCAGAAACCTCTATAGACTAGAACCTCTATAGACCAGAACCTCTATAGACTAGAACCTCTATAGACCAGAACCTCTATAGACCAAAACCTCTATAGACTAGAACCTCTATAGACCAGAACCTCTATAGACCAGAACCTCTATAGACTAGAACCTCTATAGACTAGAACCTCTATAGACCAGAACCTCTATAGACCAGAACCTCTATAGACCAGAACCTCTATAGACTAGAACCTCTATAGACCAGAACCTCTATAGACCAGAACTTCTATAGACCCAGAACCTCTATAGACCCAGAACTAAACCTGCCGCTGTCCACATGGACAAGTCAAATGTCCTCAACACAAAAGCTTCATGGTCAAAGGTCAGCCTGCTTCTGGATTTAAGGCTTTCAGACCAAAGAGCGAAGTGAAGCACGGTAGTGGCTGTATGAGGTAAGGAAAGATGGCAGACCTTCGCGTCCACTGCATCGCTAAGACCGTTTCCTCCGAGTGTATTTGTGCATATTCAGGTATATTTTGTGTCTGGACTATTAAAATGTGAATGTCTCAATAATCTCAAGTATTCGCGGGTGTTATGGTCACTCCGGGAATTCATGGTAGAAGGTTGAGACTTGGTACCAGTTGGCCGGATTCAAGATGATCCAAAACAAGGACGCAGACTGATTCTGGACCAGAGGCTTAAAAGTCTGATTCAGGAAACCGACAGCTTAAACAAACTCTTCTGCAGACGGAACGATGCCAGGAGTTTGTTTGGCTCAGATCAACTTGCTAACAGACATTTACCAAAATATTTAAACATTTGAGGTTGTATGTGAGGATAAATAAAATGTTTGTACCGGGTCCATGGAAGCCATTCCTGGAAAAGGAACAGTGCAAATAACACATTAAAATCCCAAATTAACTCAACAGGAATGTCGATGATGAGGAGGAAACGCCAAACTGCAGCTGCAACCCGGCCAGAGTTTATCCAGTCAGACTCACATCTTCAGCTGGAATGAAAGGAGACAGAAACAGAACCTAGCGGGTCGTCAATCTTCCTGCTTCTCCTGGTTGGAGTCGGTGGTTCTTTCTCCAGCCCATGTCGGTTACATGATGTTCTTTCCTAAACTGATAGTGTGCAGAAGATCCTCTGCACCTGAAGACCCCAGACACACACATACGCAGAGTACTTTGGCTTTAAGTTTTATAAACCAGGCAGAAACACACTTTTCCCTCCGCTGGTTATGATTTCATAGCTTGTAAATCAGCAGAGGAGTGTTTGAACGTGCATCAGGGCAGCAGTTCTGCTGATACTGAGGTCTGGCTGCTGAAAGCCCCCAGAGGAAGTCGTCATCTGAAGCATATGGTGGCGGCTGCTGTGGTTGGGAGTAAATCGCACACGAGCTCTGGCGGCAGTCCCAGTCTGAAGGGTGGAGGCCCAAACTGGGAGAGACTGGACGGCACTGCTTGACCTGGACGGCCGACAAACCAAACCGGGCCCGGCGCTGGCTGCAGAAACGCCAAGGAGGCTGGAGACCTTCTCAGGGTCTGGGTCCGAATGAGAGCAGAAAATATGCTGTTCTTTACGTCCTGCGTCTGCACTCAGGAAGAACTAGTGAGAGTTTCTGATACCAGCCGTGGTTCTTCTGGGCCGGCCTCCCCTCATGACAAACCGACCCAAACCAAACCAAACTGGAATGAAGGCTTCAGGGATCTGCTGGGATTCTGACCCATTGGGCTCCAGGAAACATTTTCTGCTCTTTGTGTTAAAATAAAATGTGGTTCTGGAGCGGAGCTACAGATTTCAGAACCGTCTCCTTCCAGATCGATGCACGATGTGAACATCTGAATAAACAGGGAACAGATGATTTGGTTCCTCCTGTTTGACCCAAAGCAGAAACATCTGAGTCTGATTTCATGCCAGAAACTCAAACTGAACATGTTTTGTTCATTATTTTCATTTGGGCTCCATCTGGACCTGCAGCTGTAATAATCTCCTCAGATTAAGGTTATGATCCAGGTTATAATGATTCATATTTGAAATCTGGTTCCGTTTTGGTTTCATGGTTCTGATGATGTCAGGCCTCCATCAGAACCGGCGGTGATGCATCAGCACCGCCCGGACCGGTTCCACAGACCCGGACCAGCTTTACCGCGATCCGAACCTTCGGAACCGGAACATCGTTTATTCTCTGGAGGTAAACAAACGTCGCCTGATGGGAGACGAGCATCGCGAGTAATTATTATTATTATTCTGATTATAACGAGGGTAAAACACGCAGGAACAAACCCACTCACCGTGATTCTGTGGGTCTCTGCGCTGTCCGTGCAGGAGGAGCCGCAGCTCGTCGTGGCATCCTCCGGGGGAAGCGCAGCCTGCAGCGGGGGCCAAACAAAAGCCTCCCCCTCATTAGGTCACCGACACGCGGCCCAACCGCACGCAGAGAGCCGGGCTCCGGGACCCGGTTCCGACCACTGGGACCCGGTTCCGACCACTGAGCGGGCGCCGCGGGGTGGCAACCGGCAACCGAATCACAGCCGAATCACAGCCGAAACGGTCCGGGCCTTAAAGAAACAGAACCTGGAAGAGTTCCGACTCCAAACAAACAGCGCGGCCGGGTCGGAGCTCTGCTGCCACCTGCTGGACAGACGGGGAAGCGCGAGAGCAGAAATAACAGGAACATCCAAAACACTCCTGATCCAATTACTGTTAATGGGACAAGTTTCATTTCATAAATCAGAAACAACACATAGAAAACATGATTTGAAACCATAATACGATGTAATTGACACAAACTGGACACTATTTATTAGTAAAACTGGTTAATAATTGTCAAAAGTTAAAATTGTATTAAAATTTGTTTATATGAATTACCAGTATGCATTGAATCTGTTTAGACTAGTATTTTAAACCATAATAAATGTGATTAGACTGGATTACAGCAGCACTGATTTACATAGAAAACCAATGAAATTGACAAAATTCACTTTTGACAAAGAAAAATAGCTTTTAAATGAATCCTGCCACAAATATCAGCAGAAATAAAAGTAATATATCCAGATATTTTCAGCATAAATGGGAACGACCCACCAGTTTTCTAAAGTTTTAATTTCTTTTCAGAATCAACATTTCGGCAGGATCCTGTTCAAAGTTCAACATTTCATAGATACAAAAAGTAATTTCTTACTTTAATCGTGGCTGAGAAATGAGCCCAGATAATCATTCCTAATTAGCTATTGCACTATAAACTATAACTATAACTATAAACATCAAATAAACTTAATATATATATATATATATATATATATATATATATATATATATATATATATATATATATATATATATATATATATATAAAAAATTCCCTTCTCACCCACCGCGGGTGGTTCTTATCCTCTGAGCTCGGGTCCTCTACCAGAGGCCTGGGAGCTTGAGGGTTCTGCGCAGTATCTTGGCTGTGCCAAGGACTGCACATTTCTGGACTGAGATGTCTGATGTTGTTCCTGGGATCTGTTGTAGCCACTGCTCCAGTTTGGGGGTTACTGCCCGAGGGCCCCGATGACCACAGGTACCACTGTGGTCTTCACCTTCCAGGCCCTCTCCAGTTCTTCCCTGAGGCCCTGGTATTTCTCTAGTTTCTCGTGCTCCTTTTTCCTGATGTTGCAATCACTTGGTATTGCTACATCTACCACAACGGCTTTCCTCTGATGTTTATCCACTACGACAATGTCTGGTTGGTTCGCCATTACCATTTTGTCTGTCTGGATCTGGAAGTCCCACAGGATCTTAGCTCTGGTGTTCTCCACCACCTTTGGGGGTGTTTCCCACTTTGATCTTGGGGTTTCCAGTCCATATTCTGCACAGATGTTTCTGTACACTATGCCTGCCACTTGGTTATGTCGCTCCATGTACGCTTTCCCTGCCAGTATCTTGCACCCTGCTGTGATGTGCTGGACTGTCTCAGGGGCCTCCTTGCACAACCTACACCTTGGGTCTTGTCTGGTGTGGTAGATCTGGGCCTCTATTGCTCTGGTGTTTAGGGCCTGTTCCTGGGCTGCCAGGATGAGGGCCTCTGTGCTGTCCTTGAGTCCAGCTTTTTCCAGCCATTGGTAGGATTTACTGATATCAGCCACTTGGGTTATTTGCTGGTGGTACATCCCATGTAGGGGTTTGTCCTCCCATGATGGTATTCTGGCACCTCAACCTCCGTTCCCTGTTGTCTGAGACATTCACTGAGCACATTGTCTGTTGAGGCTTTGTCCCTGATGTATTTATGGATCTTAGTTGTTTCGTCCTGGACAGTGGTTCTCACACTCACTAGTCCTCTGCCTCCTTCCTTGCGGCTCGTGTACAGTCTCAGGGTGCTGGATTTGGGATGGAACCCTCCATGCATTGTTAGTAGCTTTCTGGTCTTAATATCTGTGGCTTTTATCTCCTCCTTTGGCCAGCTAATTATTCCAGCAGGGTATCTGATTACTGGCAAGGCATAGCTGTTTATCGCACGGATTTTGTTCTTGCCATTGAGCTGGCTTCTCAGGACTTGCCTTATTCGTTGGAGGTATTTAGCTGTGGCTCCTTTCCTTGTGGCCTCATCGAGGTTGCCATTGCTTGTGGTATACCTAGGTACTTGTAACTGTCCTCTATGTCTGCTATTGTTCCTTCTGGGAGTGAGACCCCTTCTGTGTGGATGACCTTCCCCCTCTTTGTGACCAGCCGACCACACTTCTCTAGTCCGAATGACATCCCAGTGTCAGTGCTGTAGATCCTGGTGGTGTGGATCAGTGAGTCGATGTCTCGCTCACACTTGGCGTACAGCTTGATGTCATCCATGTAGAGTAGGTGACTGATATTGGCCCCATTTTTGAGTCTGTATCCGTAGCCAGTCTTGTTGATAACTTGGCTGAGGGGTTCAGGCCTATGCAGAACAGTAGCGGGGACAGAGCATCTCCTTGGTATATGCCACATTTGATGGACACTTGTGCAAGTGGTTTGCAGTTGGCTTCAAGGGTGGTTTTCCACAGCCTCATCGAGTTTGCAATGAAGGCTCTCAGAGTCCTGTTGATGTTATACATCTCTAAGCATTCAATGATCCAAGTATGCGGCATTGAGTCATAGGCTTTCTTGTAATCAATCCAAGCCATGCACAGGTTGGTGTGTGTGTGTTGCCATTTTGCACATACAGACTAGTTTCTACAAAAAAAAAAAAAAAAATACTTTTTAACATAGATGTTAAAACTGTTATTTTGTTGTGACTGTAAGGTATGTGACAGATATATATATATAGCTGACTGGATATATATATATATATATATATATATATATCCCCGCTACTGTTCTGCATAGGCCTGAACCCCCTCAGCCAAGTTATCAACAAGACTGGCTACGGATACAGACTCAAAAATGGGGCCAATATCAGTCACCTACTCTACATGGATGACATCAAGCTGTACGCCAAGAGTGAGCGAGACATCGACTCACTGATCCACACCACCAGGATCTACAGCACTGACATTGGGATGTCATTCGGACTAGAGAAATGTGGTCGGCTGGTCACAAAGAGGGAAGGTCATCCACACAGAAGGGGTCTCACTCCCAGAAGGAACAATAGCAGACATAGAGGACAGTTACAAGTACCTAGGTATACCACAAGCAAATGGCAACCTCGATGAGGTCACAAGGAAAGAGCCACAGCTAAATACCTCCAACGAATAAGGCAAGTCCTGAGAAGCCAGCTCAATGGCAAGAACAAAATCCGTGCGATAAACAGCTATGCCTTGCCAGTAATCAGATACCCTGCTGGAATAATTAGCTGGCCAAAGGAGGAGATAAAAGCCACAGATATTAAGACCAGAAAGCTACTAACAATGCATGGAGGGTTCCATCCCAAATCCAGCACCCTGAGACTGTACACGAGCCGCAAGGAAGGAGGCAGAGGACTAGTGAGTGTGAGAACCACTGTCCAGGACGAAACAACTAAGATCCATAAATACATCAGGGACAAAGCCTCAACAGACAATGTGCTCAGTGATGTCTCAGACAACAGGGAACGGAGGTTGAGGTGCCAGATACCATCATGGGAGGACAAACCCTACATGGGATGTACCACCAGCAAATAACCCAAGTGGCTGATATCAGTAAATCCTACCAATGGCTGGAAAAAGCTGGACTCAAGGACAGCACAGAGGCCCTCATCCTGGCAGCCCAGGAACAGGCCCTAAACACCAGCAATAGAGGCCCAGATCTACCACACCAGACAAGACCCAAGGTGTAGGTTGTGCAAGGAGGCCCCTGAGACAGTCCAGCACATCACAGCAGGGTGCAAGATACTTGCAGGGAAAGCGTACATGGAGCGACATAACCAAGTGGCAGGCATAGTGTACAGAAACATCTGTGCAGAATATGGACTGGAAACCCCAAGATCAAAGTGGGAAACACCCCCAAAGGTGGTGGAGAACGCCAGAGCTAAGATCCTGTGGGACTTCCAGATCCAGACAGACAGAATGGTAATGGCGAACCAACCAGACATTGTCGTAGTGGATAAACATCAGAGGAAAGCCGTTGTGGTAGATGTAGCAATACCAAGTGATTGCAACATCAGGAAAAAGGAGCACGAGAAACTAGAGAAATACCAGGGCCTCAGGGAGGAACTGGAGAGGGCCTGGAAGGTGAAGACCACAGTGGTGCCTGTGGTTATCGGGGCCCTCGGGGCAGTAACCCCCAAACTGGAGCAGTGGCTACAACAGATCCCAGGAACAACATCAGACATCTCAGTCCAGAAATGTGCAGTCCTTGGCACAGCCAAGATACTGCAGGACCCTCAAGCTCCCAGGCCTCTGGTAGAGGACCCGAGCTCAGAGGATAAGAACCACCCGCGGTGGGTGAGAAGGGAATTTTTAATTTTTTATATATATATATATATATAAATAGTAATGAGCATCATTTATGTCATGAGTTCAGCTCTGTGCCACAGCAGATGAAGGAAATCCGAGTTCATCAAGACTTTTTCACATTATGTCCATTTATTGATCATATAAAAAGTTGAAACTCCCATAAACACAAATAAGACATGATTGAAAACTGCAAACATATAATTAAAAAACAAACAATTTAAAGCAACAGACACCAGAAATGTGTTAAAACAGGAAAATGCAAACATTATAAAAGTGATTTTTTCTCTGCAAAGTGCAAAAAAATTTTTAACTTCACACATAATATTTATACTGATGTTATCCAATGAAATGTTCTCTCATTTTTGTGATGTCAGACACAGTTTCAAACACTTCTGTTAAAAATACAAACATTTTGATGCCAAATGAGAAACTGACATGTTTTCACTTCCTGCTGTTTCTATAGTGAACAAAACCAAAATAAATTCAGTGAAAGTGAAATGCAAACGATTTAAAGCTCTCCAAACGGGCCGGGGACAAAGTTCTGCTGAGATGCAGGTCAGGTCGGGTCAAAGGTCAGCTCTCTGAACATTTCCTAGAGCTACAACAGAACAGCTGGACGTCCGGCGTGAAAGAGCAGAGCAATGAAACTCCTGGACTGAAGGGGAGGGCATTAATCTGAGGTCAAAGGTCAGCCAGCTGGCGGGACAG